TATAAATCTTGAATTTCTGTACGTTCAAATTTTTCTACATTTCCCTACGAACCTTTCAAAATCTAGGCTTTTTCGGTGTTTCAAAACTTTTTCTGTGACGAAAACACCCTGATTTATGAGTAGAGCTTTTCCAGAGGATTGCCGTTCTTTGAACGAGTGAAATAATTGAATTTACAGACATGAAAGCTGTTGGTATCAGTCTGAAGAATTGATGTAAAAGTTTTCATAGCAATTCATTGCGTTTTCTATGCGGATTATTATACTACTTCATGCAGTTGAATCCACTACACTTCAGTCCTATCGTCCCAGTCGATTAAATTGCTACACATATTACTGCTTACTTGTTCTTCTCGGATTTTTAAGCTTCAGCTTTTGAGTTTAAGGTATGTTAATAGGCAGTATTTTGAGAAAGTAATTATGAAAAAACGTAAAGTCCGTCAGTGTCCTCACATTTGAAAAACATGAAAAAAAAGAGAAAATGGATGATGAAAACTACTTTTTGCGATGGAGTTTTTGTAAAGATCAGGGAAGAAAAATAGTAGTGATGGGGACTTTCTCCTTGTGCCAATCTAGATGTTTGAACAGTCATACACATGGACTGTAACTACAACTAATTAATAAGGGTGGGGGGGGTGTCTAAACTGGCACAAGATTACTGCATGAAACAGCTCTAAACTGACGATATTAAGGATGATTTCACGGTAACAGGAATTTTGAGCCATCAAAATTAAAAAATCTATGTAATTGGAAAGAAAACTTCAATCTATGTTCATTCAATGTGTAGAGAGCTTCCTTTTTGTATTATAAAACGCTGCTCGTTTCTTGATCAAGAATTGAAAATATTAGTTTTGAAAAAAAAAAATCGGAAGATAAAATTTAAATAAATAATCTTAGAGCCTGTGTAGGGTAAAAAAAGTTTTTATTTAAAAAAATATGTTTAAAATAAATATGTTATAAATCCTTTTTACGAAATTTGTACAATGAGTTTTTTTTTTAATTATCTAAAAGGTAATATATCTTGAAGGAGTGTGTAATAAACTTCAAATTCAATTTGTCATGTTCAAACATGCATAATGAGCAATGTTTAACAAAAATATTTTAAGCATTTTATCTTATTTTGAAAAAATGAGAACAAAAGATTTATCATGAAATGCAAAATAGTACCTATTCTAATGACAATAAAAAATAATTCACTAATCTATGGAAAAATTCTTGAGATTGAAGATTTCAATTACCTGGCAATACTTTTTCTGATAAAATACATCACAAATGTGTCCTTTCATAAGGTATTAACAAAAGATTTAAAGTTAAACATATTTTTATCTCTATAATAAGGCAAAATCAAATAAGAGACTAAACGAGTATTTTGAGAGAATGTGCCACAAAAAGACCACAATCTTTTTTTTTTCTGAATAATTTATTCTCAAAAACTGTTAAAGTTGCATGGAAAATTGCACTATGTTCTAATTTTACTGCAGTCTTAATTTTTTTATCTTCTACTTTTTTAAATATTCTATATACCTACCTGGGTACTCATTGATCTCTAGGCTCCAGTCTACCTGCCACAAGAGGCGATAAGATGGCTAGGGATATCTGAGGAGGAGATAACAGGCTATTACACTTTGTTCAGTTGAAAAATATGATGGTTCTGTGACCGAAAGTTCATGTAAAAATTGATCGAAGGATAAAAAAAATTATTATAATACACAGTATTTTGAAGATATTTCCCGTAGTAACTATTCTTTTCTATTCTGGAAATTATAATCCCAGCCTTTTCAACTTCAAACATTTGTTGGACTTAAGAATTTTCTACGCTTGGAGGGAGCAATGTTTTCTTTTCAACTTAGATTCTCAAGAATCATTGCGTAATATTGCATAATCCGGGATGAAGAGGAAAGCTGCATTTAATAGGAGCACAACTTTCAAAGAAATTTTTTCTATTTAGCAGCATGAATGCAAGTCACAAGAAGCTAGATTATTCTGAGTCCAACAACAATTGAGGAATTCAAACTTATACTTGGAGCACTAGAATGTTAACCTCCGAGTAATTTTTTTAAAAACACTATGAGAGCATAACTAACATCGCTTGCTTTAAAAACAACTACATATACAGCAAGTCGAATGATTATTAAATAGGCAGCAATTCTCTCTTGCGGTGTTATCAGAGCTAAAGTCTGATCACAGCTCAGGAATAATAAAAATTGAAAACCATACACTTGAAGAATGCACCAATCTTAGACTCATTACAATGGTACTATTAAAAACGGGTTTTTTGCATAATACCTTCCTCCATTCATTCACCTTACAGCTCAGAAAGGTGTTGATAGTATTAAGCGATTAAAATGTTGCAAAAAATGATTAAAACAAAAAATATTGAAAACATTTTTCAGCTACCTTAGAGAAGTTAACTGGTTTCACAGCATCCCGAAATAGATTTCTTCTAAGTTATCTCGGAATTAAAATGGCATTGTCGAGGTTATAGAGACCGATACTTTGTGGCATCAACATTTTTCCTGTTACCATGGAATCACTCTTAGAAAGGACAATGTTTTGATTAATTCTCTGTTACACCTACCTTTCTCCTCGTTAATGGTTTAACTTCACAACGCGCATCAGTCACAGATGGTTCATCCGAAATCCAGGGCTGCTCTAGGACTTTCACCTTGCAGGTTTTAATCACACCTTCTTTGTTGGAAACCGATAGCTTCAAATGATAAAGGACACCTGAATCCTCCTACAAGCAATGATAAAAAACTCATTGAAACTTTGGTGAAACTTACTTTTTTTCTTTTATGCATAAGTGAAGATTTACAAAACAGAGGTAGAATAAAAAGAGGAAAAATTTGTAAAAATACTCCAAAAATCTGTAAAAATTGATAGTAGTCCAGAGAAGAAGTATAGTGATGGCTAAATATGAAAAATGCGTAATTTAATTGCAGCGTTAAAACATTTCAAATTTTGTTTTATTTTCTTGAAATCAAAAAACTAATCATAATATTTCCTTGCAATTTTGTATGATTTTTATTTAGAGTAAAAAAGAAAGAAAAAATATAGGTGAATCTGCCACGTTTAGAGCTCAACATTGTTGAATTATACAGTGAAACCTTGGTAACTCGGTTTCCATCGGGACCGAGGAAATTTACCGAGTTAGGCGGGTTACCGACTTAAGCGGACTACCACTTTTCCTGCCGCGCTTTTTCAAATTTCGCGCCCTAGATTGGACAAACGCAAACGTGCGTGTAGAGTGACTTATAAGAGTGTTTTGGAGAGCCATTTGATCAAAGAAAATGGTACTAAATGGTAAAATTTCATGAAATGCACTTGAAATTGCGTGTTGAAAGTGTCAGGGCATCATGAAGTCATCGGGTTAATCGTATGTTGGGGTGCCGCGCACCCCACGCGGCATGCCGCGCGGTGATGCGCCGCGGCCGCCCGCTATGGCGGGTCGTTGCACTGAAAATGCAACGTATCAATACTCGCTAAAATCCCCGAAAAACTCTGCGGAAGATTCCTGGGGGGAGCGGGGAAGGGCAATGCAAGATGGTAGGGGGAGAGGGGCCGGTGCCGACTGGACCTGTCAACTCATCGATGCGTGAAATTGCTTAATTATGCAAGCGTGTTTTCACACGCACGATAAGATAAACACGCGGTATCAGATTATCCTATTCTCTACTGTTCTCATCTTTCGTGTTGTTATCGAGTGTTTTTGATTCCTTATCTCTCTATTTCCGATGTCGTTTCTCGCACTGCGCTGCGCTCTCTCGGAGATTCGCTCACCCTTCGTGGCGTAACTTGACCCGACCCGCACCGCGCACAGATTTTTAGACCTGGATTATCATGGTATATCTCAGTTGTTAGTAAGTGTTTTATGTCAAAAACTCAAATTCAGATTTTTAGACCTGGATTATCATGGTATAAATTGCTCTCCTAAAAAGCTTCTCCACACTTTTAGGTCTCTTTTTCTTTGAGCAGTTGCATAAATATACTACCACATGCTAAGGAAGAACATCGTATGAGCCTTCAGTATGTAGGAATATTTTTCCTTCAGTTTTTCGGAGAGTTTTATCCACAATCAGATCTGAATCGTCTAAAAATTTCAAGGGACAATAATCGTATCTCTTCTCAAAAATGAACATTTCATCGGAAGGAATTTTGCAACTCATGAATGTTCATACAGCGTTTCTTCTTAGCCCGGCAGCATAGAGGTTGTCATTTCTATTAAATTTAAAAGCATACCTGTTTGTAGGCTTCGATCACATCAATCAACTGAAGCTCCTCATTTGTTTTAGATGTTCTTTCCAAATATGAAACAGAAAATTTGGCGAGTGTTTGAACTTTGGCTTCACTACTATCTAAAGATGTCAAGATGTTTGGCAATTCAGGGGTTTGATTGTTCGATAGTTGCTGTAATATACAAAAAAAATTGAGAATGCATGAGAAAAGAAAAGTAAGTTGATGGAACTGAACGGAAACGAATCCATCCGATGTTAATTTAGATCTTTGAAACAAGGCTTTTCAGTATGCTACATGTAGGAAATGTAGGAAAAAACCTTACGTTTATATTAAAAGGCTGAAATTTCAACTATCGTCCGTTGTCTACTACAGCTGAATCTTAGGCACTTTTATATTTTAACCATTGGATAAGTTTCCACTGTTGTATTCTAATTTAAGTACTTTAAAAAGTTTTCTGGAAACTTCAATTTTTATGCATCGGAAAGTAATAGTTAGCAAGACAACTGTTGGCCAAAATATATCATTTATTATTTTGTCAAACGGAGGTCTTAAACTTGAAATAAAGATCTGCCTTATTTTCACCACTGAACAAGATAAAATCTATTGTGCCAGGAGCATTTATTTGGAGGATTAGGAAACAATAGCCAGAGATGATACAAAGTTCTAAGATTCTGATTCTTTTGTGATGGTTCAGCGTTGTCCATATGGCGATTTTTCCTAAGATCCTTGAACTTTCAGTCAAAATTCTATTATTTTTCCACAATATATACTATAATTTTCGCGTTCTGGAAGGGTAGAGGGAAGAGAATTTTAGGAAAATTGCCTCAAATTGCTCAATTTTACATTTGAGGCAAAATGAATTTCAAACATTTTTTACATCCTTGATGAAAGCAAGCTCAGAGGTAAAATTGATGATACCAATGGAATTGACCAGTAATTGTCTATGTTCAATATAAAGACACTAATTTACGCTCTTAGTGATGTGAAGCAGATAAAAACCAATCCAAATTGAAAAAAATGGCATACGCACCAAAAGTTTTGCAGAGACAGAACATTAGGTAGAGGGAAAGGGAAGGGTTTATCAAGACTAAACAACCCTTACCTCTCCGCTATGCAATGGTTTATCTTGACAGTAGGCATCGGTTACTTTCGGTTCCTTGGAAATCCATGGCTGTTCAAGAACTTTCACTTTGCAGGTTTTTGATTCACCTTTCGAATTAGACACTTCTAATGTTATGTGATACAGAAGGCCAGCAACAACCTGAAATTATATTTTTGAGTAATATTAATACCTGTTAAGCTTCAATTTATTGCATTGATGAAAAAACAAAACAAAAAATTGACTCATAACTGTGGATTAGTTGGAAATTTTTGATGCCTAAATTCGCCATCTACAAGACGCCATTGTGTAAAGGTCACACCCTGATTTCCAGTTGCCTAGAATTGAACAGGGTGTCCCTGGATTAAGTACGAATATTGAAGGAGTCGATTCCTTGGGTCAATAAAAGACATTTTAGGGGTATAACTTTTTTTCCAAAAACGCTTTCCCTCGAGAGCTGCCCCCCCCCCACCCTTTTTGCGCCCACCCGCGCTCCATTCAGTCCCTTTTATCTCGAAAACGATGAGTCATAGCGAAAAAACGCATTTCCTCAATATTTTTCAACGCTGAGTCTAGTGATGCCGTCAAAAATCAATTTTTGTTGCTGGAAACATTAATTTTGGCCACTTATAGGTTCAATACCCCCCCCCCCTCAAAGTGCGTTTTCCCCCTTTTGGAGGTCAAAAATGAAAAAAAGCGCTAAAATTTACCGCCACTTACCAATTTTTATTGGTATTGGTTGATAAACATTGTCACAATGTTAGAAAGACGATTTTTTCTCTCCAACTTTGGTGGACCGTGGTCCTCGGGGAAAGTATTTTGGGAAAAAAAGTTATACCACGAAAACATCTTTTTTTGGACCCAAAGAATCGACTCCTTCAATATTCGTACTTCGTCCTGGGACACCCTGTATAATGTATCGTGAATTATTTTGCCACAGGTGCAAAATCTCAAGTTTGAGGTTCTCGGTGCTAGGGTTCTTCTCTCTGAGAACAGCCTGATAAAAATAAAAATTCAGAGGAAAAGATTAAGGCCAGTTAAGAATGAGTAAGTTCAGAAGGGAGCTTACCTGTTTGTAGGCCTCCGTAACTTCATTGAGTTGCAGTGAGTCGCTGGTGCCTGTCAATCTCTCCACAGATGAGAGTGACAATTTCGCTAGTATTTGAATTGTGGGATCACTTGTATCTACCGGTATCAAGCCACCTAAGATTGGTCGCTTCCTAATGCCAATTGATCGCTGAGAATTTTGGAATATGTAAATTAGAGGAGAAGAAAGAAATATTTGACGAAGGTAGTATAATTGATGAAAATATCAAAGATCATCCTCTTAGCTGTGAGTAAAGATCAGGTACAAAAACAAAGATATTTGTCCTCCAACTCATGCCGCAAAGCTAGAAAAACGCCAGATGAATACTTGAATGTTGCCAAATTTCCTCTGGGAAAATATTCATATCTGGGGCAAGTTTTGAATATTCTTCCTTGAAATTTTGAGACTCTTTTGATAAAATTTTGAGTGAAATTCTCTGAAAAATCGGAAGAAAAATATTTACAAAATTTCTTGCAAATTCGTGATTTGCTAGAGGAAATTTGGCAACATTTGAAGGCTCATACAGAGTTCTCTCTTAGTTCTGTAAAATGAGTAGTAGATGAAAATACTGAAGGCAGTGCTGGAACTATAAAGGGCCTCTTGCATTTCTTATGCAGACTGGCTTTTTGGAAAGTAAACTTCGGTCCATACTCTCACGTTACCGTCATCTTCAGGTTTTTTTTTTTTTTTTTTTTTTTTTCTCCCCCCCTTTTTTTTCTTTTAAATCTGTCCTTTTTAAATTGGCTTGAATCTTCTTGGAAACTGATCGAGATAAATTCAGATGATCTGAAAGCTGGTAATCATTTAAGAGTACATGAATGACAAGGATGATCTCACCCGTTTCCTTTTATGTTCATGTTCATGTTCATGTTCATGCTGGTCCTTTTCTGTCGTTTCATGTAGACAGATTGCTCCTGACACTTCTTGACTGCCCGACCAATACTTGTGAACTTTTACCTTGCAAATTTTTGGATCTTCTCTGGAATCAGCAACTTTTAATTTCAAATGGTAGATCACCCCTGAAACGTTCTATAATCACACGAGAAAAGTTGCTTAATTTAAGGGATTAGTACTCGCTTACAGAAATAAACAGAAGATTTCATTTTGACAATGCAAGCAAATGTTTCAAGTTATAATTCCTTTTTATCCTCTCCCTTTTTTCTTATAAAAGAAAAAAAGTTTCCAAGAAAATTCTCCTACCACTGCTGAGGCCAAGACTACGTAATGTGACAATTTTGGTTTGTCTCTGAATTACAGTAAAAACGATGGCATCAACACTTTACATTGCAGAAAACTATCTAAGAGATGTAGAGTTTAAATTTTTGGAACGAATCATTTTCACGTTTAAAAATTTTCTATTTTTTAAAAGGCGAGAAGAAAAAAGTTCAATTTTTGCTGCTACCTACTTTCACGATTTTTTGCTTGAATTTTCCAGATTTCTCTGTTTCCCACAATACAGATTCTATGATTCAGTTTGTTGTTGTTCTTTATCTTATGTTGTCTTGTGATGCTTTTAACTAAGGAGCACAGCCGTTGGAAAATTCGTTATCCTTTTACCTTCGATGACAGTTTCCTAGAACTGAGAGTTTTCACCTTGAGCTTCAAATTATTGTACCTTGGTTAGTAATTCCACTCTTCGCATCAAACAACATGCTTAGAACTCACAAAAGTTCTTTTCTCGGGCACTGGTTTTAATGAATCCATGTTTGATGAATGAAATATTTGAGAAGAATTTACATTTGAGGATGAATCATGGCAGGCAGGCAGGCAGGCTACAGGATGTCCTGACTTTAATTTAGAAAAAAATGAGAATTTCCTCAGGTGAGAGTATCATTGACATAAAAAAAATTGTGATTGTGTTGAAATCGATTTTTGGAAACATTTTGTCCCACTAACTATTTTGCAGAATTTCTGATTGGTCTAATGTTAGATATTATAATTTTTGTACTGATAAAAAAAATTAGCAGTCATTATAAGATTGTATTCCTTCCATACAATTCCTGGTTATTGAAAGATATTTTGGCATCAAATATACCAAAATAGTAGAGTTGGGCCGGGTATCCGGCGATTATCCGGATTGCCGGATTATCCGGCCGGATACCGGATATCCGGCTACGGCCGGATACGATTTTCGCGGGTATCCGGATCCGGCCGGATAATCGCGCTATCCGGTTTTTGGACCCGCCGAATAGTGCTTTTTTGGCCCTGAAAATTTCGATAAATTTTTGGTGATATTCTTTCTTTTTTCTTCCCTATCAATACAATTTTCTGTATTTTTTCCTGAAACTTTTGACTTTTTTTTCTTCTCCTTCAATACAGCTCTGTTTATTTTTTTCCACTTTTGTTTTGTTTACATTTCTGACTTCTGATAACACCCTCCTGCTGAACATATGAGCACAGCTGCGAAAAGCTAGAAACTGCCTTGCTATATTTATGACACATATTATTTGTCAACCATGATTTTTGTACTATTGCAATTGTGACACTAGAAATAAGGAAAGAAATTCAAGGCCCGAATTTTGTTAGCTACGACCGATCGTGAGTCGAGTAAACTTAACCTCAAAAATCGCGACATTTTTCGCGCGAAAAAGCACTATCCGGATCCGGCCTGATACTTTTTTGAATTATCCGGTATCCGGATCCGGCCGGGTACAAAAAACCGATATCCGGATCCGCTTCCGGTGACGCGAAAATTCCATTTCGGCCCAACTCTACAAAATAGAGAGAGAGAAGTCCTTCATAGACTCATCCTGAGCGTGCTTACTCAAGTTTGTTTGAAAAAGTTTAGGAGGATTATAACAGAATAGAGTCTCCTTTCATGGGATTTAGAGACAGAAGGAAAACAGAACTAGCAAACAGAAAAGGGCAGTTTCTGACATGGGTTCTTTTAAAGAAAATACTAATATTTGTCTGAAAAGTACATCAGATACTTCTACTGTATTAAATCCAGTACACTTCATGGAAAGATGCTTAGATAAAAACTCTTACTTCTAGTGTGGGGTTGAATCCTAAAGGACTACGTGCAAAACGGGCCATTTGGGGCTCGGGGCGGATACCTTTGAGACTTGCCCTATTCATTCACCTAACAATGCCCAATCTTTTTCCAAAGTTTCAAGCCCCCCAAAAATTTTGGGGAGACCCGGCGGGGGGTCAAAGTTAAAAACCGGCAAAATTTTCGCGAATTTATTACTCAAAAACCAAGAAGTTTTGGAAAACGCGGTTTAAACGAGCGTATTCAGCGTGACGAGAGCTTTCAGAAAATGTATAACATCATAGGGTTTGGTCAACTTCAGCTCGAGTTATCGCCTCCGAAGCGCCGGAACGCTCAAAAAAGACCCCTTATTTTTTCACGTTTGGGCCGATTTAAAAAAAAGTCATTTTTTTATTTTGATGAAAAACTGATATGTTGTTCCTGACTCTCTGTAGCCCCTCTAGCTCTTTACTGCATGCTGGGGAAATGGTTTGGTCGCAAGTTATAAGAGCGGAAAGGAGCGAATGTGGGGAAAATCGGCTATTTTAAACTGCCCGCGCGGCGTTGATCGGAGGGAAAACGTCCCCTCCCACTCAGTTCGCCGGATCATACTCCTCTGCCGACCTCGCATTGTTGCCACATGTCTCTTGATCCGTCGCCGCGCGCAGTTTAAAATAGCCGATTTTCCCGACATTCGCTCCTTTCCGCTCTTATGCTCTTATGCTCCCTAGCCCCAAATGGCCCGTTTTGCACGTAGTCCTTTACCCAAATTCAAATCCCAAATTTTAACCTTCAAATCCTCGAAACTGAATCCGAATCCATCGCTTTCCAGAAACTCAGTACTTTTTCTAATTTATTTTGTTTACTTTTATTACTGTCACACAGTGAGGACTACAGGAATGAGGACTTAAAAAGAGAAGGACTATTCCCGATATAAGAGCCTTTGGTAACAATCGGGAATCCTCGGGGTTCCACTTCATGGCGAGAATTTTGAAATTTCGGAGGATTTGAGTTCAGATTCGAGCATTTGTGACACCACGTCCTGAATCCGAATGTATGTCCCAACACTGCTTACCTCTGCAAAGGCTTCCATGACTTCTACCAATGTCAGATTATCTTTGAAATCTGATAATTTTTGAAGTGATGAAAGAGAGTACTTAGCAGATTTTTGGACTTCAGGATCGAGCGGATTCTTTGGCGTTAAGCGAACTGTGTCTCCGTCTTCAGAATCGTCATCAGATCTGGACCTCTGAAAGTTATAGATTATTTAGGCTCCAATAGAATATAGAACAACAACAAAAATTAGAACTACAAAGGGGGGCTGCGGACCTGTTCCCAATTTTTTTTTATATAATTGAATCCATCCCCGGCAAAATTCAAAATCCTTCTCAGCTTGGATGGAACTTATGAATTTGAAGTTATACCCACTTGCTTTTGGAGGCGCTCTTTCCTTCTTTCTGAGGACGCCGAGAAAAGTGTTAAATTTGTCAAGAGGGTTAAGTTTCTTCAAGCAATGAAAAAAAGGAATGTCACAGTTAAGAAATAATAATAATAAGGTTGTAAAATCATTGCAAATTAATCGTTCTTCCCAAAACTTCGTAAAAGTATGCAATTCGTTACTTTCTAACATGATGGGCTACCACTGCCCCCCATAAAAGTGAGAAAGAAGCGTAAAACACTAGTTTGAGTATAAGGTCCCTATTAAAAAAAAGGGAGAGAAGTTCCTAACTCCTCCTTCCTTTAACTTGAAACCCCTACTTGAAATTCATGATAAACATATATATCTGATATTGAAACTTAAAGTAAGATGTATTTATAATTTTTATGATTAGCATTGCATATACCTTCCTCCGACTCGATGGCTTGTCTTCGCAGGATGCATCTGTCACTTCTTCTTTCTTCGGCTTGACCCATACTTTTGTTTTGCACAATTTTGATTCACCATTTGAGTTAGTGATTTCTAAATTAAGATGGTACAGCATCCCAGAGACAACCTAAAACCAATCAAAAAGACTAACATTTTGATCTCAAATTGTTCAGTTCTTGTTAAATAGCTGATCTTCTTTGAAGCCTTAGCTTTACACTTGAAAAGAGATCAGAGTGGAAGAATCTTTCAAAAGTAGGGTTTTAAAAAGAGTAACAGAGACTGGAAAGGAAGCAAGAGGCTTATAGATCGAAGTTAACCATAGTGTGTCACAATTATCGACGGTGTAAGTCAGCAATCACCTAACTCGGTTTGCGACGTCGCAGACTTCCTGTCATACTCTATTCTTTAAACGGAAAACTACTCAACAGCAATTCTTTTAAATTGTGGTAATGCTTCTTCTCTGTGCAAAGAAAATTCTGCAAAAACTTCAACGAATGATGTCAATTTGTTCTCCTTTAAATAAATACATCGGAGATTTTCAGACACTGCAAAGAAGATATGTGATTGCAGACTTACGCTGTCGTTATGCTAAAAGTTCTAATCTATTGACAGCAAAACTACAGCACATATTGAACACTCACCTGGATGAAGAAATTGAGGTATTGTACCATGTTTCAACTTATCAGAGTAGAATCAACTAATGATTTTAAATGAAATTTGAACAGAATATTTCTAACGGAGCGAAAGAAAAGTTAAAAAAAAATTATTGATAGTTTTTCTGTAGGTATAGAGATAAATGAATTAAAATTTACAGTGTCACAAACATAGAGACATGTCCTTTACGTTTGATCATCAGTTTGTTAGTTTTGTGCACAGCTAATTGGAGCTAAACTTCAGAAAAATGCCTGTGGAGAGGACAAAATTGTGGCTGGGTAAATAAAAAGCTATGAGACTTAACCTCCGGGGTCTCAAATAATCAGCTGATTTCGAGTTGGAGACATGGAAATTAATCGAGCATTACAAAATTGCCACCCATTGAGGGTTGTTGATGTAAAATCACAAGCAAAGGAAGCGCACTAATGCCCACTTTAGAAACCATGTACTATAGTTTGTCAGCCGCTTTCTTATTTAGAGTCTTCTATATTGGCAGTGGCCGTGGCAATCAAGTATCCAACCGTATTCTAATGAGTTATGTTGGTTACCAGTTGTCGGGTATGTGAATTTTGCCCCAGCTGGCTTTCTGAAGTATTTTAGTGAATGGATGAGTAAATAAATAAATCAATCAATGTAAAAATTAAAGAACGTACCTGTTGCTGAGCATTTACAACTTTGACCAGCTTCAGATCAGACCCTGCAAGGCTCATTAAGCTTGAAAGGGAGAGTTGAGCATACTTTTGTACATCACTATTGTTTACATCCACTGATTTCAAACCATCTGGTGTCCCCGATGAAAAGACCTAAAAAAATAAATTTACTGTTAGACAGAATATCAAGTTTAAGGGTTCAATGATCTGAACAATTACTTGAACCTTTAGATGCAATAACAAGGTATCTACTAAACAAGCTGGCCAAAAATCAGTACTTATACAGTACTTTTCCAGTACATTCCCAAGAAATTCAGTATTTCCTTAAAAGAAAAATTCAGTACTTTGTCAGTGCATCCATTTGACAAAATTCGAAAAATTTCGAAAATTTGAAATTCCCGCACGCATTGCAATAAAAATGAATCAGCCACAAAATTTTAATGGTGGTTTGAAGATTAACTGACTGACAATTGCGATCTTGCAGGCAAATACTACCATAAGAATCAACGTGCAGGGGATTGAATACTTTCCAGGCTCTATTGAAAAACACGCGTGGTAAGAGGACAAAAATTTCGGACCTTCTTAAGGAATTTCCCCACTTTTTTAATACTTTTGGACTGCCCTCATAAAATCAGTGCTATTTCGGGACTATCTGGAAATTCCAGACTGATAGACACCCTGGATAAAGAAAATCTAAGCTTGAGGTTTTTTCTAGCAGGAAAGAAATGTGTACCTTCTGTTGCATGGATTTAAATACAAACAAACTTGAGTCAATTTTGATACAATTGCAAGTCAAGGAATTTCTATATGATACTACGTCCAAGATGGATATTCAGCTTTACAAAGATCATTTAACGGGCAAAATAAAATTTATAAGGCTACAAAAAATCTTGATGAGAAAAATTAGCTCAAAGAAATGGTGCATGTAATGAAAGATGAATTTTTTCTTTTTTTTAGAGAGAGGATCATACCTTGCGCTTTTGTGTGGCCAAAAACGCAAAAAACTAACAGAACGGAAAGGTCCACAACTTGACATGGTGAACCACCTGATTGATAAATACCACATAAAAGTGATTCATTCAATTATTATCCATAGTGATTCGATTTATCTATTCTGTTATAAGTATAATATTTTCATAAGGAAGAAAGTTTTTCTGAGCCCAGGGTTGTTAGCAAAATTATTCATTTCCATTCCCTGACTTTCCAATATTTGTCCCTGACTTTTAAGTATGCATCTGACGCAGTCTGTTAAAGTGAAAATGAGAGGTATTTCCGACTATTTTAATTTTCAGTAGTTAGTTAACGTGCACATTTGCAGCACAAAGGCTACAGAAAACTGCTTGGTTAAGGTGTGTTCCAAAAAATATTTTTGACGATTAAGATTGGACCTTGCAGTTCCAGAGAAACGGTTTTCCAACAACAACAAGCAGCAATGAAGGATTATGGTGCAGGAAGGGCACTTCTCAGAATCAGTGATTCAGAATTTCTTTTGGCATTCCATCCCTGTCAAGGGAAATTAATGCTTGTGGACGGAAGACAATTTTACTGAATATTCTCTATAATTTAATGATACTGTTTACAAAAATTTGAAGTAAAATGACTAAGTGACTTTCTTACGAAAAAATAAATTGTTGATAGAGATCTTGAAAAATTGCAATGGAGAGGTGCCCTTTTGGCACACAATGCCTCAATTTATAAATACGTTATTGGGCACCGACAGACCTTGTGAGCTGTTGAAATTTTTCTGGTAAATTCTAACCATGTTCTAAAAAATAGTTTCCCTGAAAATTCATAATTTACAGAGGAAAATTTGGCAACATCTGATGGCGTACATGGTATTCTTTCTTAGCGCGACCGTATTCAGCCATGTATTTTATATGCTGGGCAAATATATAGTGATCAATAGATACAACTATCTGTGTATCAGTGCTCAGATAATTACCTACCCTCAAGAAAATTAAAGACAATGGTCCCTGTATCAGAAGTAATTTTCTAAATACCAACCGTCAAAACAAAACATTGGAAACCTTTTTTAGTTATGGTGGTACAAACCTTCTTTTTAGTTGAAGCCTCATTTTCGCAGGATGCATCTGTTACCTCCTCTTTGTTCAGCCACGGTTGCACCCAGACTTTAACTTTGCAAATTTTTGCGTCCGCTTTTGAGTTGGCAACTTTCAGCTCCAAAGAGTAGAGTACACCAGAAACAACCTAAGCATCAATAAATACGATAAAATAATCAATAAAAACAAAATAATCCATAAATAACAAACGAATAAATAATCAATAGAGACTATTGATTTAACTATTGATTGACTATTGATTGAGAAGAATAAAGAAATTATCGATATGAACAAAGCAAGAGTCCTCCTTCCCTCGTTGGTTCGAGGTGATGAAAGCCTGCATGATATTTCTAAATCTGAAGATTGTATGCTCATCAAGAAATTATAGACCTAATGATAGCTGAAAAATCGTGGAAATTGGCTCAGAAGATCTTTAGAAATGACTTAGATGAAAAAAGAAAACTCGAGAAGTCAGAGAGCGTGCTAGTCATGATATTCAAAAATGGGCGTATTTCCACCAAACGGAACTATGTGCATTAAGGCATGAGCCCTGGGACCCATAAGAATATATATGCATAACAGGGCTAAAGTTATGATGCACATAGTTCCGTTTGGCAGAAATACGTCCAAATGACAATGGTGAAACTACAAAATGCCATATACCTGTTTGCAGCACCGCAGATTAGGAGATCACCCATTAAAATCATATTTTATTTTTTTGAGGGATGACTGATAGACATTATTGTACTAAATTTCATGTGATTTCTTTTCCTTCCTTTCAAGAATATTTTCTATGGGTTTTGTGGAAAAATATCTGAGAGTATTTTTCTCGGAAAAATTAGTGCCGAGGCAGATATTTGGAATTATCCCTATTGAGACACGAGTTTTCTCAGTCGCATCCACATTTGTATGATCAACATGAGTTTCACTTCATCACGAGATGTAATTCCTAGGGCATCAATAAATTATAAAATAAAAACAGGTTGGAACTTGCGTCAGATAAAGTGGCAGTTGTTTACTTCTGACTGTCATAGCAATAGATAGATTTAGCGATATCTTCTTTGAGGTAAGTAATGGTTTTCGGTGCCTACGCACAATAGCAGCACAGCATCATAGTCATACTCCATCAATCTTTGATCGCAAATCTGCAATGCTGAGAAAAACTTCGGCAGAGAATTCGAGAGTTGATAAATTTCCTCTGATAGGACGTTTATTTTTGAGGAGATTTTATGAGTATTTTCTCTCAAACTTTTCCGATAACTTAAGTCTAATAAGAAATAAAATTCTATGAAGAATTTGAGGAAAATACCCTCAGATTTCCCTGAAAATTCTATTTTTAAGAGGAGAAATTCGGCAATGTCTAAAGATTCATACAGCGTTTTCCCTTGGCAAAGCAATATTGGACGGTAGAAGTGCAATCACGTGCAGACAGAAAGTAAACAACTGCCGCCTTATCTGACAAGAGTTCAGGTAAAACTTTCTCTGGGTCATCTAAGATTATGTCACCAATTTTAGCGGTTTCTTTGACTATTCCAAAATTTTCAAGTTTTCAAACCTTTCCTGGCACATTGGCAGCGCAGTGCTTGAGAAAATTTTGTGCACGGCTTCTTGAGGAATTAAGAGAACTTGGCAACATAGCCAAAATAGAGTTACCTGGGTATGAACTGAGATGACTTCAACCAATTTTAGTTTGCCTTTTGATCCTGGCAATGCTTCAAGAGTTGGAAGGGAGAGCTTGGCATACCTTTTGACATCAGAATCATCCACTGATTGTGCACTCCATCCTCCTACCATTGAGTTTTCTGAACGCTGTAAATTAAAATTAGTTGTCTTAATACAATTTGAAAAATATCTGAACTGCCATGGGGCTTTCATGGGTAAGGTTTTGATGCGAGGCTTGCCTTACAGTTTAGTGCCATTAAGGTGAATCCAGGGTTCGATTAGGGATAATTCAAGATTAGAGATAGCGCCACCAGTCACCACTGAGAATTTCACTTTCCTTCAACGATTACTGAAATAATATTTCTCAAATTGCAAAAAGCAGATCCATAGTATATATATGTATTATTTTTTGCTTGATTTTTTGAGCCAAAAATATTTGCAATGAGGATTACAAGCGCTGAACTTACGGCTGAAACTTTCAGCTCAGCAGCGGCGGCCGAGCACGCAACCGAATCCCTTATGTACTGTCTCTCTCTCTCCCATTGCCACAGTGGGAATTACTTTCCGCCGTAGTTACGACTTCATTTTTGGGAATTTTGAGAAGATTTTTTTACTGAGTGTTCCTCGAGTATGTTGCTATATACCCTGGATCCCCAATCTTGAATGAGTATTACGGTTTTTATTATTTTGACAAATATAAACGGCTATTCTGAGCAGCGCGACGTGGTGGCCAAAACCCGAAGTTCCAAGCCTGGATTCACCTTAATGTCATAAGCTTCGTTGCAATTTTACACACAACAATATTCCTCAATGTAACAAAAATGCCATTAAACTTCGTCATCTACAATACGCTCCTTTCATTCAATACATATGATGAATGATGAAAAATCAATGATGAAAAGAAGAGATAACTTCATTTATTTTGACATCAGAGCAAACACTGATTTATCGCTGAGCCACTGATATTTGAATTCTTAAAATGTGTGTATTTCTTGAGATAGCTCTTATGTGAAAAAGTAAAGTTGCAAAATCCTCCCAAAAAATAAAAATTTTGCGTAAGAGGTATGGGAGATTTTTGCTGTCTACTGGAAATTGAAGAAAAGAAAGGGAATGGGGAAAAAATGATAAAAAATAAAGGAATAATTTGCTTACTTTTCCGTTACTTACAAAGAAGAAAAAAAATTTAAACCTGGAAAATTGTAATACAATTCTTCAGGTTTAAATTTTTCTTCTTCTCTAGTGCTTTTAACAAGTGACAAGATCTCCTGATAAATTTTATACATTTTAAAGCGGGTTCATATGAAATAACAGCTTACCCGCTTTCTCGATTTTAATAAATCTTCCTGACATGATGCATCTCGTAAATTGACAGAGTTTGATCCCTCCTGTAGCCAAATTTGAATGTTGCAAATGTTGGTCTTTACAGTTTGCTCGTAACACTTAACTTTAGGGCTATCTTTCAGACACTTCGACACACCGACCTCTAATTTCAGGAAGTAGTACAGTCCATGCACCATCCCCTCAAGAGAGGGATGAACTTTGGCGTTCAATAAGCGAATAAGTCCAAATTTGTACGGATCGTGACGGACTCCTAGAGCAGCCAATGCTTCTTCTGCATAGCGTACAACTTTTTCATCGTTTACATCAACATCCAATGGAGCTCCAAGCAATGGTTTCTTTGAGTGTCGTGCAGAGGAGTTCTCTTCCTCAGGGTGGTCCAAGAGTTTTGGCTTCCGTTCATTGCCATAAAGAGTCTCATATTCTGGCTGACAGTGAGACTCGACTAGAGTTGCGTGGGGGACTTTTTTCAAAGCCCAAGTGCGGAGAACTTTAATGTTGCATAGTTTCACTGGGTCAAAAGAGCTTCGTTTACAAGCTTCATAGTCCTCTTCTTGTTCTGGGCAGTTGCTTTCGATCAGTTTTAAAGTGAACTCGTACAGAATGCCCCCTGCAAACTAAATAAAAAACCAAGATTAAGGAAATGAATCTAAACGAATTGTAACCATCTACAGAACAAGAAGCTTTTGGGGTACCGACGTGAAATTTTGGGGAAGCAATTTCGGCTTTGGTTCGGTATTGACGTAAATTTTGAAGAAAATTCAGTAAAATTTTCAATTATAACCCCTGACAGTATCCTAACAAAAGTGAAATTTTCAAATTGAAACATTGTAACACTGAAATTTAGTTACGTTTTTTTCGTCTGAGAAATAACAAATTACTTATAAAACTTTGACCACAAAATACTAATGCATCAAACATTTGAAAAAGGGTCCGAAACTCAAACTCAGGGGAGAAAATTGAAAAACAGAAACTTACTTGTTTTGTTGGATTCAGCACTTTGTCAATGATATTCTTTTTATTGTCAGCATCAATTTCATCCAATTTTTTAGCAGCAAAATCGGCCAACTCATTGACCAAACCCATCTCTTCTTCTGTGACATTGTAAACTGAGTGAATATCTCGCACAGTTCCAGCTCTGAAAAACATTAAAAATTAGTTGGAACCTTAAGTTCAAACCCTTGAAAATAAATTGAACTCAGAACTTTACTATGGAAAAGCGACCTCGCTTTTCTTCAGAGGGTCATATTGCTCCATACTTAGGGATTTAAAGTATCAGAAAGTGAAAATTGTTATTTTTCAATCTGGCATGGTGTGATGCTTAGATAATTACAAATAACTTTCCATATGATACTTTTTTTACCTTTTAATTTTTCTTTGCTTTCCAGTGTTATGACCTGTGCATTTTCACAAGTGTCGATTTCAAGTTGGCAATGGACTTCTCTACGTGCATTGACCTTTAAAAATCTATCTCCACAAACTTGAGAAAAGTTTTTGAATAATGTTTTTCAGGAAACCCTTTTTGGTGATTATTTTAAGTAAATTATACATCTGGTACAATTTACTTATGAGTCTTTGAAAAAATTACAACTTCTGTGAGAGTTTTTCCGTCTTTTCTTCGAACAACTCAAAAGTCAAAATATTACAGTAGATCTTTTGAGGGGTTTTCAACTTCATCCAACTTAAACATTACATCTCATAAATTTTACGAGAAAATGTTAATAAAAGGGTTTTCTATGATGTTAAAGTTGACAGTTTTTTCAAAATTGTCACTTTATATGAAACAAGTTTTTTAAATTTTTTCTTAAAAGTCATTGCTACCAAGATTCTTTGTCCAGAGCATCAGAGGTGTTATCACTGATCTGTCTGTCGATAATATCTCTTTTAGCTCCTACCAATCTAGATCAATACTGATAGCATTTTCAGTCTTGTGTGGGATAATTGTTTCAAATTTCAAAACTCTCTCTAACGCATGTAAAACCTAAGTTTCTTCATTCTTTGGGCATTAGCCTTTTAGTCATGGCTTTTTGTGTTTCAGGCACCTTAATGTGAGCAACACTTTGCTTTCTGCGTGCATCTATTTCAAATTGAGCTTTATATCAAAACCTACACCAGATTATCAGAAATTTGCTTTTATCTTGAATATGCTCAGTTTCGAAATGACTCTGCCTTTTCCTAAACAAAGAAACACATTTTTTTTCTACTTCAATCAATCAAGCTATCGTTTTCAATTTCAATTAAAATTTGCCATGCCATTCCTGGCTCAACTATGCATTGATCGATCCAAGTAGAGGGGCACACAGGTAAGTCACTCCAGAGACACCATTCCTTCTACTAAAAACTGATAAAAACTTGCACAAGTCCATAGCTGCCACATTTCAGGAGTAGTGTAAGAAAAATAATGTTAAGATTGTGTGTTTCGGAATATTCAGGTATTGCAGAAACCACTTAAGAGAGAGCAGAAGGGTTTCTAAGCTTGGTTTACAAAATCTTACAGGCAGAAAAAGGGGATCAGGCCACGTATTATGTAAACTTTTCAGTTAAAAAAAGAAAATACTATTTTCCAATAATAAAATAATGTTTTACATGGGCAAGTTTCAGGTTTTCTGCATTATTTTATAGAAAAATTTGCGAGTGGGGGGGGGCAGGGGGCAAGTTGGACTTATATAATTAAGAAATAGAGATGAGAAGTTGACTGACGAGTATCGTACAGAGGGGCGAGGGGGAGGGGAGGTAAAAAAATTGACCAAAATGACTTTCATAGTATGTGCTTGAATTTTTTTGGCTTGCATTGAAAAAAGTTTTGTTGAGATGCAATTTGTAAGGTCAACCACTAAACAAATCTGTCCATAATAACATTGATAAGTAGGACAAAAAATGATAGCTTTGGGGATTTTAAAGTGGTGTGAAAATGTAGCAAGACATCAATTGTTCAATATTCTTCTAGAGGACATCAAATTCAAAATACTTGCTAAAAATACATTTCTTAAAGCTACAAACTGCTTCTAAACGACTGCATTTTGATGGCTAGAGTTGAAAAATGCAAACATTTCAAATTTAGAATTGCGTTTTACTTTTTTTTTAAAGAAAACTGTCTGAGAGATCATGTTGACATTTTCTAAAAAAATTTTCAAATGAGTGAAGAAAATTCTAAGAAAATTTCAAGGAAAAATGATGGTCGGTTTCCTTTGATGAAAATAAAAAATGAGCAGAGACTTGCAACTTCACACTCGAAGATATGCACTTTTTGACTTCCACTATTCATTTGCTGAAACGTGGTAAACCAATGAGATAACTTGAATCCCTCAAATTTTTTAAAGTTTTGAAATTTTAGGAGTCATCTCTCATCATAAACTTCATGAGCAGATAAGTTTCTCTTCAAAAATATGTTGATCTCTTTGTACTTTAAATGTGGTTGGTTTAAAAGGAAAAAAACTTAACAGTCTAACAAATTATTGCTGATTAAGATGTAAAATTTAAATTTTGATACGCCTTCTCTGATGTTATGAGATGCAGTTCAAAACTCACAACAGGATTTCTCTGGATTCACTACTTCTACTCCTTGAAACTTGACGATGACAGAAAAGGAGATCTAGCCACATTGCATACCTTTACAGCCACTTCCACTTCGTGAGTGAAAGAATGCGCAGCTCATGTTTCGAATGCTCCCATTGTTCAACATGATACTTTGACTCGATTCAGTAAGTTGGCCGGTGACTTATACGTGAAATACAGATTGCTGCTAGATTAGCTTTAGGAAGTTAGGGAAAATTTGTTTATGTCTATTGTCCTCCTTTAATTTTAAGAAAATTACTTCTTGGGCATTTTGATGGCGTTTGACTGATAGTAAAACTTTATTTCCTCTTTTCAGCTTGAAGTGTTTACAGTTTTCAAGTCAAAAAAGATCAATAATGGATCTGGGAAAAAAAGAATTATGTTGGCGGGACCTCCCACTTTGACCAAAAAAGGAGAAGATACAGCAGAAAAGAGAGCATGAAAGAAACGTACCCATCTTTAAAAATACAAATGCTTACCAGTAGTACCTATTTAGTTTTAAGCCTGGACCAGCAGATCGAGATGAACACGAAACTAAATTTTTTTAGTTTTAATTGAAGTTTTTTTGGCAAAAATTGTTCCCCTTCTAAAACAGTGTTGAAAACACATCTTCAAGAGGAGGAGCAAACCTATCAATTTTTGCCACAGTCAATTTTTGGATTCCAAGCTGAACCTGCTTTGAATTTCTATTTTTGGAGCTCATTAGTAAATACATGGTAGTAAAAAGTGCAGTTGATAGTGCATTGAGGATATTTATTTTTCGTACCAAAGAATGGAATAGACTCTTGACACAAATTTCCAGAAATGATATGTTGTGGTCCTCTATGATTTTAAGGAATTATTTCTCCCATCGCTTACTTTCACTCTTCAGTTGCAAATTTTGCAAACTTGCGTTCCCCATCACATTATTCTGTATATGTTAAATTACTCCGAAAATTTCTCTACTCCGCTAATAACAAACGGGAGGCACTGCATCCCTCCCTTCCTAAGATGAGTCATCCTGTGACTGGAGTACTTTTATGTTTGGTGTATGGTTGTCAAACTTTTATTTTAGAACTACTTAATAAAATTACGACTTACTGACGAGCTTTTCCAGAGGAAGAAACATCGCATTTACTTGATACAACTTGTGGTACTGCTACTGGATGGTCGAGATGGTCAAGTTTCAGTTCAAGAGAGCACAAAAAAGAGCTAGAACTGTCTGACGCTTCAGATTTTGATGAGGAAACAGTGAAGTAGGCTAAGTTTTTATCTTGCTGAAAAAAAAACAAAAGATGGTGAAGTCAACATGAGTTTTTGAAGTAAAAATTTTGGAACATTGAAATTAATAAATATTTTAAAAACACCAAGCTTGCCAAGTGGACCATAGTGAGGAGAAGGGTGTGGTTGGAGAACGTTGACTGAATGGATGAAGAGACTAGTAAAAATTTGTAATACCATCCTTTGGGGAAAGACTCCCTGGACACGATCGTCTAAGAGATGGAAACAAAGCTGGCTCTCTTTTGCTACGGATGTTTGAATATTTCATTGCTGTTTTTGTATTATTGATTGGATAATCCTTCATATTTTTCGAAGAAAATACACTGATGCATTTGATGTTTTTACAATATTTATGATTTAATGCACCTGGGACTAGCTGATGGCCTGACAAGTAGGGTTATGCTCTTATCGTTTGTGAAAGAAAATGAAGCTTGAAAACTAAGACATTCCTAGCTGCTAGAAGAGACTCAGTATTTATACAAAATTTTCCTAGGACTTGAAATTAATGATATTACTTACTGATGTTCGAACAGCAATTATAATCTTTGAAAAACAATTTCTTTTAACTTAATTATTCATTATTCTTCCTCCTAGTTGCAAAATACTATTGAAATTGAGGCACTGGATGCAAAAAGGGGACTTCTAGGTTGCAGTGTTTCAGAGTCTCCTTTAATATTTCATTAATTGTAAGAAAAGTGAATGCCTCCATTTTACTTAACATTTTACTGAATATTCCTTATGATTCTAAAATTTTATATGGAAAGAATTCTGGAAAAACCACCCATTGAAGTCATCTCCAAGGGATTAATTAGCAACAGAGATCCTGCAACACCGCAATCCAGAAGTGCTCTTTTCGTATCCAGTGCCTCAATTGTGTTGGATTTTTGCGATACATTTTCTCAAACAAGTAAAAGGACAGGATCTAAAAACATTAACCCCTTCAGTATCACAAATGCAGCATCAGCCTTCAGCGAAAATATATCCTTCCTGCAGCATTTCTGTCATTACTCAGCAACCTCTACTCACAAGTATTCACATTTATAGCTCATGCACTTGGCCCTTCCCAACATCCCTTAATTTCCGGAGGTGTAAATCGGAAGAAAGCAGTGTTGCTAACTTTCTGGATCCGCCAACGGTGTGAAAAAAAATGATTGATAGAACAATACTCACATTTACTTTGCTGTGAATGATTTTTTCAAAAACAAAGGTAGGGTAGTGTTTCTCAAATGCCAAGCGAGCTGCATTTTCAAGGTGGCCCACATGCTCCTGGAAAACATCATGGCATTTTTTATGATAACTTTTTTTTTTAAACCAATTTTCAAATAGTCTATTGGCTAATCCCACGCTTGCTGCCCAGCTCCAGGTGACCGTTCCTTGAGACCATCAAACTTGGGTCACCTGGTCGGGAATCGAACCCGCGACCTCTTGGTCATAGGGCCAGGGCTACGACCACTACACCACAGGAGGCCAGCTACTACTGACATTTAAAAGTTCGAACTGCTCAGACTTTGAAAAGGAAACTTTCAACATTAACTCAAATTACCTTTGGTAGTTTCCATATGAGAAAATATAAAAATTGTTGCTTGTCGGATTAAAAACATGATGGTGAGTACCAACTCTCCAATTCATCTTCTAAAACCGATACTGTCTGTGTATTTTGCACAACCTGTTGCAAGTATAAGTCATTGCAGTTAGGAAAACTTCTGGACCGCATGAAATCTCAAGTAGATCATGAATACTGAACAAAATCATAGATGACAGATTTTTGGTGGAGGCACTGCTGCTAGTATAGGTATCATGTGGTCAAATTTAGGTGGCTACCTCTCGATCATTGATGTCAATGAAACTGACAAAAGGAGATGTGGACTTTGAAAATTAAGGTGATTTGATGGACGCCATATTTTGTGTCAGAACGGCATGCTATAGATCGCATCAATTGGTTCCATTTCTTCAGCTAGGTACTCGTCATTTTTCTCCAATTTTGAGATTGCAATCCTGTTGTCAGGAGACTAAAGCATTCACTTACCAATTTTAACAAAGAAACTCAACGTAATAAAGGTGTGGTTTTTTCACTGAGAAAACATCGCATTCGATACTGATATCGAAACTGCACTCGATTGCGATATTTTCTCACAAAAAAAACCACGCCTTTAGTACGTTGAATTTCTTGGTTAAGATTGGTAAGTGAGTGCTTCAGTCTCCTGACAACAGAATTGCGATCTCAAATTTGGAGAAAAATGACGAGTGGCTGAAAAAATGCAACCAATTGATATGAAATATGGCATCCATCGAATCACCTTTAATGCGATAAAACATACAAGACAATGAAGCAATTCTCCACATTTCGTAAACTCATTGAAACAATGTCATTAAACTGACAGTGGACTTCAGTAAGTAATCGATGACATTAAAACAGAAAAGTTGGCTTTCCTAATAGGAAATAGGAGGAACTTACAAGATCGGCGGAGACAATTAAAACAATGCTGGCCAAACAAAAGATTTTAAAGAATTCGAGAGCCATGCTGCGGTAAGATTTTGGAGATTATTACACTAACACATCTTGATCTACTATAAATCTATCGACTGAACCGGACAGCACTGATTCACTTCACTCATGAGCTAGAGCTGTCATCAATCGGTCAGTAACTTCGAGTAGAGAGTTGAAACTTGAACGAAATTCTAACCACGAACACTCAGTTTATAAAGTATAAACAAGAATACATAATCGGAAATCACGTGTAGTGAGGAGGGGAAAGGGGATCAAAGATCAGAAGAGGGGGTAGTGCCCCCCCCCCTCCCCCCTTTGTAAAACAGCGCCCTCTGCATAAATGGCTGGCCATTCCCGCCAATTTCAATTCTGAAAGTTAGGATTCGTCAATCTCGTTATCAAAACTCAAAACTCGTCCACAACTCCTCACGGGAATGACTGTCATTTATCTCTCACGGTTCATAAAAAATCAAAAATCGAAGCAATATTTGAATATTCGCTCCCGAAGTATTCACGATCGCAAGATTCGAATTCTCAAATAATCGCAATAATCGCACTCGAAAAGTTTCGAATATTCGAATAGTCGCATTCGAATTCGATATTCGTCCATAAGGAATTGTTGAAAACTTGAAACCTCGAAAGTAAAAGCTTCCACCTGTCGCTAGGAGGCTAGTGGAGGGTCTCTTGCCTCTGTTCGTTACGAAGGGTAAGAAACTGGGCCGGAAGTATTCGGGGCCGGATTTAGGGGGTGGCCGCATGGGCCGCGGCCCATCGCGACAAGTTTAGGGGGCGGCAAATGTTGTAATTTTTTCAAAGGAAGGTATCAAGAAAAAAATCTGATTCAGAAAAAAAATTACAAACGAGAAAAGGCGAAAAAAATCCATCATTTCCTGAGAGTTAAAGTATAGTAATTTCTAATCTGTTCGTCTATCAGTGATACAAGAGACTGCGGCAGCGCCTTTCATTAGTCTAGTTGAGAGAGAAACCAAACACGCAATTTGGCCTGGAGCGGCGCGGCGCAGAGAGCAATGATGACGAGGGCTTGAGATGAAAAGGAGAGGCCCTTGGCGCGGCAATCGGCATGTAACACATATTACCGCCTACAAGACTCTATGAATACTTCATGCATTGCGTCAAACGTAGTGCGGTCAGTAGCGGTTGGCGCCGTAAAACTCATAGTGCCTACAAGACTGCATGAATACTTCACGCATTGCGTCTAAAACACTGCGGTCAGTAGCGGCCGGTCAAACGAGCTATACATACACATTTTGTATCGCAGTTCTTTCAATTTTATTGTTGATTTGAAAAACTTCTATTTGGTGAAATTCCTACCGCTTCCTTGTTTTTAATTCTTCCATACAAATTATCCATTTGCTAAATACTAGCTTAGCTTGAGCGCCCTTACACTATGCGGTCAAAACTGCAGTATCGGCAAGGGTATAACCCGAAATGGCTAGCGGGAAAGCTATGCTTCAATATGAATCTTCCATCTTCTTAGTAAGGCGCAGGGATACAACTATTTGAACTCTCCGGAATGCGGGAGGTATCACACCTCAATTGAAGGCGTTTTCAAATCTTCTGTATTTACATGACGAGATTTTCCAAATTGTGCTGCATTATATTTTTGATTTGAGTACCCTTTATTATTCAGTTAAATTACTCCTGCTTCTGAATGTTTAATTATTCTGCTAAAATCCGCCATTGCCAAATACAATCCTGGTTTCAGCGCTCTTAAACTACATCCTTAACGGTCGAAACTGCAGTAGCGGCACAGGAAAACCGAGAAACCACGCGGAGACGCTACTTTACTCTTTAGCTTCCATCGCCTTCCTAAGGCGCAGGGATACAACTATTTGAACTCTCCGGAACGCGTGAGGTATCACGCCTCAATTGAAGGCGTTTTCGAATCTTCTGTTTTCACAAAACGAGATTTTCTGGTCCCATAACATTCGGAGCGTGGAAGAAAGGGAATGACTGATCTTCCGAGCTACTGCCACGGTTACGCGCGCATCCCCTTGATTTGATTTGTTGTGCCTTGCTTTTGTTCCAGTTAATTATCAGATCAAAATTTGCTCGGACGTGCTTTGGCTCTAATTTAAGCTTTACATACACATTTTGTATCGCAGTTCTTTCAATTTTATCGTTGATTTGAAAAACTTCTATTTGGTGAAATTCCTACCGCTTCCTTGTTTTTCATTCTTCCATTCAAATTATCCATTTGCTAAATACTAGCTTAGCTTGAGCGCCCTTACACTATGCGGTCAAAACTGCAGTATCGGCAAAGGTATAACCCGAAATGGATTGCGGGAAAGCTGCTTCAATATGAATCTTCCATCTTCTTATAGTAAGGCGCAGGGATACAACTATTTCAACTCTCCGGAACGCGGGAGGTATCACACCTCAATTGAAGACGTTTTCAAATCTTCTGTATTTACATGACGAGATTTTCCGAATTGTTCTGCATTATATTTTTGATTTGAGTACCCTTTATTATTCAGTTAAATTACTCCTGCTTCTGAATGTTTAATTATTCTGCTAAAATCCTCCATTTGCGAAATACAATCCTGGCTTTAGCGCTCCTAAACTACGGCCTCAAAGGTCGAAACTGCAGTAGCGGCACAGGAAAACCGAGAAACCACGTGGAGACGCTACTTCAATATTAGGCTTACATCGCCTTCCTAAGGCGCAGGGATACAACTATTTGAACTCTCCGGAACGCGTGAGGTATCATGCCTCAATTGATGACGTTTTCGAACCTTCTGTATTTACATGACGAGATTTTCCAAATCGTTTTGTAAAACATTGTAGATTTGAGTTCCTTTTATTATTTCGTTAAATTTCTCCTGCTTCTTAATTTTTGATTTTTCTGGAAAAATAATCAATTTTCGAAACACAATCCTGCCTTTAGCGCCCTCAAACTACTACCTAAACGGTCGGAACTGCAGAAGGGACACAGGAAAACTGAGAAACCACGCGGAAACGCTACTTCAATATTCAGCTTCCATCGCCCTCCTAAGGCGCATGGATACAACTCATTGAACTCTCCGGGACACGTGAGGTATCATGCCTCAATTGAAAGCGTTTTCGAATCTTCTGTATTTACATGACGAGATTTTCCAAATTGTTCAGCATTATATTTTTGATATGAGTACCCTTCATTATTCAGTTAAATTAGTCCTGCTTCTTAATTTCTTCTCTCTCCCACTCATTGATCAGATGCGGCAACCCGCGGCTCGTCAAAGGGACACGAACACACTCGCAAAAATACAGGCTAGGCCTCGTAAATTGGTCCGCGGTGGTAGTGCCGATCCCGAATCCGGTTGCCCCGAAAAAACACCGGAGTGCTTTCCGACCATGAGCCCTGGAAAGAACGGCCGTAAACGGGGACTAAGGCTCAACTTGGATTGGTCCATACGCCGTTTTGTCCTTTCTCTCTCTCGCACTCATTGCTCAGATGCGGCACGTCAAAGGAGCACACTCGGCTTTGAAACGCCGCCCCAATTGTCGTCTATCTCTCTCCCACTCATTGATCAGATGCGGCAACCCGCGGCTCGTCCAAGGGACACACACAAACTCGCAAAAATACAGGCTGGGCCTCGTAAATTGGTTCGCGGTGGTAGTGCCGATCCCGAATCCGGTTGCCCCCTAAAAACACCGGAGTGCTTTCCGACCATGAGCCCTGGAAAGAACGGCCGTAAACGGGGACTAAGGCTCAACTTGGATTGGTCCATACGCTGTTTTGACCTTTCTCTCTCTCGCACTCATTGCTAAGATGCGGCACGTCAAAGGAGCACACTCGGATTTGAAACGCCGCCCCAATTGTCGTCTATCTCTCTCCCACTCATTGATCAGATGCGGCAACCCGCGGCTCGTCAAAGAGACACACACACTCGCAAAAATGCGGTGGTTGTGCCGATCCCGAATCCGGTTGCCCCGAAAAAACACCGGAGTGCTTTCCGACCATGAGCCCTGGAAAGAACGGCCGTAAACGGGGACTAAGGCTCAACTTGGATTGGTCCATACGCTGTTTTGTCCTTTCTCTCTCTCGCACTCATTGCTCAGATGCGGCACGTCAAAGGAGCACACTCGGCTTTGAAACGCCGCCCCAATTGTTGTCTATCTCTCTCCCACGCATTGATCAGATGCAGCAACCCGCGGCTCGTCAAAGGGACACACACACACTCGCAAAAATACAGGCTGGGCCTCGTAAACTGGTCCGCGGCGGTAGTGCCGATCCCGAATCCGGTTGCCCCGAAAAAACACCGGAGTGCTTTCCGACCATGAGCCCTGGAAAGAACGGCCGTAAACGGGGAATAAGGCTCAACTTGGATTGGTCCATATGCTGTTTTGTCCTTTCTCTCTCTCGCATTCACTCCTCAGATGCGGCACGTCAAAGGAGCACAATTTTCTTTGAAACGCCGCCCCACTTGACGTCTATCTCTCTCCCACTCATTGATCAGATGCGGCAACCCGCGGCTCGTCAAAGGGACACACACACACTCGCAAAAATACAGGCTGGGCCTCGTAAATTGGTCCGCGGTGGTAGTGCCGATCCCGAATCCGGTTGCCCCGAAAAAACACCGGAGTGCTTTCCGACCATGAGCCCTGGAAAGAACGGCCGTAAACGAAGACTAAGGCTCAACTTGGATTGGTCCATACGCCGTTTTGTCCTTTCTCTCTCTCGCACTCATTGCTCAGATGCGGCACGTCAAAGGAGCACACTCGGCTTTGAAACGCCGCCCCAATTGTCGTCTATCTCTCTCCCACTCATTGATCAGATGCGGCAACCCGCGGCTCGTCAAAGGGACACACACACACACTCGCAAAAATACAGACTGGGCCTCGTAAATTGGTCCGCGGTTGTAGTGCCGATCCCGAATCCGGTTGCCCCGAAAAAACACCGGAGTGCTTTCCGACCATGAGCCCTGGAAAGAACGGCCATAAACTGGGACTGGAGCTTAAATTTTAGATTTGATTACCCTTTATTATTTAGTTAAATTACTCCTACTTCTTTATTTTTAAATATTCTGCTAAAATCATCCATTTGTTACGGTGCATAACGTTTGCGCACACTTTTTTTACCGATAACGTTTGCGCACACTTTTCACGAATATCATTTGCGCACACTTTTTACCGATAACGTTTGCGCACTCTGCACTATTTGGCAACGCTTCAGTGATGCGTCAGTAGTATCGCTTCGTGATAAGACAATTCAACGGACGGAT